AAAAAAAAAAAAAAAGGACACATATTTCCATAATGGAAAATAATTTACAGATTATTTTTATATTTTTTTATAATCTTCGATGTTATTTAGTGATTTATTTTTTTATTTAAAAATTTATTAATAATTTAAGATTTATTTATTTATTTAATAATATAAAAAAATTATCTTTATTATTTCACTCTCATAATTGTTATAAGGTACTGTGCTTAAACGTTTTATATATTAAAAAATAATAATTTTCTTAGATGTAATTACAATTTACAATTGTATAATTTTCTTTGTTGAAACTTGAAAATTTTTTATTATTTTTTATTTGAATTATTTATTTTAAACTTGAAATTTATTTGAATTATTTTATTATCCGTTAATAGAACTTGAATCGTAGATTTAAACAAAAATATCATTACTATAATAAAAAATGGTTGCATTAACCCAATAAATATGGAAGTACTAAATTAGAGAAACTGGTATAAACCATGCATGAGAGTAAAAACTAAAAAGCAATCATTTAAAACTTGCTCGATAACTGATCAATTTTGGCCATTGGGTTCGGTTCAACCAATTGAATTGATCAAATTGACATGTCCAACTAGTTGACTTAATAATTATTATTTTTTATTTAAAAATTATAATAAAGCTTAATCATTAAAAATAAATAAATAAACAATTTTTTTTATAAAATATAACATATAAAAATTATATATAAATAAACCCCTATATATATACATGTATATGCGTATACATATATGTGTGTTTCTTTGAGCGCCGTATCTTCTGCTTTACTGGCGCATGCTTTGCAAAATTATGTCCCAGCAACGATGATTTTTTTTTATTTTTTATCTTGGGTCACATACATTAAAAAGTGATTAATTTGTTAATCACTAAATATTTATTTTATAATAAAAAATAATTTTTATATTTTATTTATTTTATTTATTTGTTATATAATTGAAATTTAAAAGTTTTAATTTTATTAAAAAATACCACTTAATTTTTTTAAAGATTTTTTTATCTTGTATTTTATGACGCAAGATAAGAGTGTAATAAATATATATTTTTATAATTAATTCACATAAAATTAGTAAAAATTAACTTAAATTTAATTAACTGATTAATTAAAATTATTCA